ATTTTTGTGTAACATCATTAAACCTTATATATATTGTTTGTTTTGTTGGGCAACTTGATAAGAAAGAGTATGTGAAGCCCAACATGTATAAAAAATAAAAAAATTATTTAGTTTCGGTTCTTATTCGGTTCTTCGGTTTTTGGTCTAGACTCGAGACCCGACCCAAACTCATCGGTTCTCGGTTCGGGTACTCGTTTGGGTATTTAATTTATGAAGAACCGCTTGGTTCGGTTCGGTTCGGGTTCGGTTCGATCCGATTCGATTCGGTTCGAGACTTTTGGACACCCCTAAGAATTATAGAGGTAGCAATTGGTCAAAAGTCAAGTTAAAGAAGGGAGAAAATCAACACCAATGACGGCTGCCTCTGTTTTTCATTCTCTGTCAATTAACCCACAAATTTTATTTGGAGTGTTCTCAGATTTACAAAATACCAACAAGGATTTTTTTTTTTATTTTTTATTTTTTTATTTTTTTTTGACCTTTTCTCATAAAAGAGACGACCAGAATTTTGAGTAGAAAGTTCTCTTTTGTTCAGCAGGTTGAAAATATAAATGCAAGAGAGAAGAGATTACCCGCACAATAATAATTCTATAAAGACAGCGGAACGTGTGGGATGATTTTGTGTGTGAGAAATTAATATTTTGTTTAAAGGATTCTAATTTTAGCATACGATATCAATTGTTGTACTAATTTAATAATTGTGCTAAAATCAAGAATCACATATATTAATTGATAGTTCGAAATTCATGCATGCGGAAAACATTGTTGTTTATGAATGTTACCGACTAGAACTTCTTCTCATTACTCCTCACAAATAATCAGACGTCAATGGGACAAGCCAATAAAACCAACGTGGAGAGGAGAGTGGACTTACCCATTATATAGGAAATTATAAAGTCGACTCATTACCGACTCTAACCATAATTTAGGGTTTACAACATTGCAGCCCACATATTTAAAATTACCACATTATAAATAATAAAGTCTGTAAGGTGTATGACGACCCATGTGATCACTAACATATTGGACATAATCACGATATCATTGCAAACCATACATCTAAACCGTAAAATTCGCAATCAAATAGAAGCCAACATAATATAATTATTCTAACACCATGGGGTTCCCAGTATCACTAATGCTACTCAAACATGGCTTCAGACAATAATTCAAATTAAGGGCTGGATGGATGCACCTCAGCCCCTGTTTTAATTCCCCGTCCCCAGCCCTCTTTGAGTAGCAGAGTTCTCCTGGCATTGTCTGAGATTTTTCAAGTTCTGGGTGACAACGTTCGGGCAATGTTCAATTAGTCGGTGTAGAAGCTTGGTTCTCTGCTTGCTATTGGTTCCACTTGATAAGTAGGTTTTTTTCAATATTTTGGGCTAGCATTTTTCTTCTATGCCTTTTACGACAGCCCATAAGCCCATCAAAAGCCCACTTCTTAGTTATAAATTACTATGGGAAGATTACATAAACAAGGCATTTACTTTTACCAATTTCAAAAATACCAAAACA